AAAAATATGAAAACAATCAGAAACCTGAGATTTTTAAATTTCCAGATGATTTTCAGTTCTTCCAGCAGTCCACAAGATTGTACTTCGTTGTGAGACTGAGTTTGTTGTAGTGTGGGTCCCAAGTTGGAAGAAAGCATTTCCAGGAGATCTGGTTATGTGTACTTTCTTTACACATCTTATTTCAATTTGCTGCGCAAGTTGAAACCCGAAACCCATCAGCTCTGAATTCTCTGAGACAATTGTTAAAGTAGAGAAATACAAATATTATGAATATGAGGAAGATTGAACATTTTCTGGAACATCTTGGTTGCTTGCGGGAGTCCAAAAATGCCGTCCCAATTTTTCAAGTAAGACTTGGGACCCTGTTGTAGCATGTGCATAAGTTTTTCCCTTAATCTCCAAAGAGTTCAATTGCTCCGAAATGTAGAAATTATGTTTGTAACCGAAATGGTCGCAAAAGGCCTTGAAAGAGGATAAGGATCATTGATGACGTACCAATTGTCCTTTTCTTGGGATGAAAACCATGTTGTCAAAATACAATTTACTATTTGATATAAATTGGAAATGAGACTTTTAATGAAAAATAGAAAAATGGCGCATAACTAAGTCCTGTACAGTATGTACGTGTAGGAAGTTGTTATGTGAAAATTGAAAAAGCAGGGATGAAACGCGATGTTAAAATGTCTTGGTTCTATGGCATCTTGCTGTTGTTACAGTATGCTAACTGTAGCCATGTTGATGGCCAGACATTTTGAGTAATAACAACAGTACTGGCTGTTGAAATTCTTTTAGCACTAAAGTCACCTCACTTTGATAGCTTCATTATAGTTCAAACATTGATACTAAAAACTATCCCTAATTGGAAATGGTAAGGTCTGTAATCAGTACCAGAATGAATTGTTGTGATGGTCCCTTCATATGGTGATATACCGTATGTTTTTTCTAGATAGAAGATGATATTAATGTGTTTATGCATATTGCAAAATGCACATCTTGTTTATCTGCTGTCTCTTATACACATCTAGATGGGTATAAGAGACAGGTTATACACAGTACCAGAAATCTTTTTTTTAAGCGTTATTAAACTCCTTGAAATTATGAATGAAAATTTGGCCATTTTCTTGCTTTATCTGCATTTTGACAGTACCAAGGCATTTGTACATAGGAAGGTAACATTTTTACCATGAACCATATAAGGCCCAATTTCAAAATATTATCAGTTTATCACCCTCGAGCGCATGCCTTTTATGGTACTGAAAAATTTTTTTTTTTTTTTTTTTTTTCAAAAAACAATTAATAAATATTATTAAAACATTGTAGATTAGCTCTTTTCTATTGATTATAAGTTGCTATATATTTTATACATCATTTGATCTTGAAAATCACACCATGAAGGAGTTGAAACATCAATCTTTTTTTTAAGCGTTATTTTTATATTAAATATTTATACAAAACGTACTCTTATTACTAAAACAATTAAAAACATTTTTTTTTTTTAGTATATAGTTAGTAGATATTTGTATTATCTCAATCATGTTTTGCTTTGAATATCAATGCACCAGCAAACAACCCAAGGGTGAAATAAAAAATAATTAAAAAAAAAAAAAGCCTCTTTCCCTCATCACTTTTCCAGCCTAGATAGGGTGATAAACTAATAATTTTTTATAGGGCCTAATAATATATAATTTAGGTTTGGAAATACATGTTTTTTTCAATATATTTTAAATTGACTTGCATGGTTCGGAGAAATCAAGTGACTTTACATGTAATTTTAAGTAAGGCGAGACTATTTCATACCTTGTTTAGCGAACCTGCCGCTCACCAATAGTGATGATTTTTAATTAAAAAAAAAATTATTTTTGGCCAAGTAACAGTGCAAAGAAAACTTAACAATGTGGCGTTGTTATTATTTTGGTCTCAATGTACAATACTTAGCTCACTATTTCTTCAGTGACTGATTTGTCTTCACTATTACTGCTTTCTGCAGGCATATTATGCACATTGAATAGTCTAATTGTTTGCTAAGTGTATTCCCATCTGATGTGGTTAATATGTATAGTTTTTAAACCAGCAATCTTTATTACATTCTAGCTTCAGTGACAGCCAATGGAACATTAAATATTTCTCACAAGCATATATAATCTGTTGCATGTTTGGAATGCCCTTTTGTAAATTCATCATGTATGGACACTAGTCTTATAGATTATAGTGCCTGCATTGAGCTTAAGTTCAACAATACAATTAAATTAAAATATTTGAATTGCATACATTGTAAAAGTACAGCTCTGTCGAGATTATAGCATTCTCTTTGACAGAAAATTATATGCCCATATATAGTCATGATGTGCCTATATATGGATGTGATGTGATGTCATCATGACCATATTTAGACATGTTGCATGATTTTGTTATATAAAATTTGATACACTAAACAGGGCTTTATATTATGGCTTTCAATTGAAAATTATTTGCAAATTCACAGATTTATTACCAATGCTAGTTATTTGCAAAACAGTTATTCTCTTTCCGATAATTTTAGAGGATTTTTGCAGTAAAATTTCTAAGTGTGTAGACTAGTAAACAATGTATTATTTTCTGTCTGTCTCATTAGAATAGAAGTTACTCTAACGTATTCCATCCATTAAGTAATTAAATGTTTGAGTCTGAACAGTATTCGTATTTTTAAATTTGAGAGTTCAAAATTTTGCAGCAATTCAGCTGTCATGCATTTACAGGGCTGAGGTCTAATCATTGCCACTGGATTTTGCCAAGAAAAATTATATATGTTTTGTGATTTATTAGATGCAATTTTCAATGTTTTGGTAGTTAGCAAAGATCATTTGTAATAACGTCACTGCATTCGTCGAATAGAGTTTATGTATTTGGGAGGCTCTTAATACAGTATAGAGATACTAACTACTGTATCTCATAATTTGTAAAATATCATAATTCATTTTCAACGCCTATTGTATTTAGTACATAACATCTACAATAAAGATTAAAGATTAATATCTTGTAAGAATGCCCTTCTTTAATCCCTGGATCTAAATACGTCGTCGAGTGTTATTATTGTCACTGTGTACACACAGCAAGCATAAGACTTGATTTAGTTGGACAATTCCTATACTGTCTGATCTCTTGGCCTAGCAACAAGTTTGCTAGTTCATTGTAGTGGACACCAATGACCTAATTTATACATACTGTACATGTACACGTGAATGAGACCTGCTCAATTTATTGAGAACTGACACTAATATGTAACTTACAATTCTATCTGCAGAAGTAAGATTTTTTGAATATTTGCCAAAAAAATATTGCTTGTTCTATGTAATCATTAATGATATTTTGAGACAGTCTGGCGCTTATGTTAATGATGCTGCTCATACTTTGGGGCACTGTCAAGGCAGGTGCTAACAGAATTTATCTATGAGTTCTAGCCTGAAACCCAAATGAGAAGGATCTAGACAGAACTAACTTTGGGCCATGCATCAGTTTGAGGATTGAATTCTACTGTACATTGGCTTTAAGTTTAATATTTATAGTTTTTGTTATTATAAACACTTACAAGTGCTTCACATGTTGTTTGTAGTGAACTTTATTGGACGAGATCCTGTTTTCGGTTTCAACCTATGATAATCATTAGTCACATGATCAATCCTAGGTCACCTGATGTTTTTGATTGGTAATTGCATTAAAAGGCAATAGTTAAGGACTCAATTAAGCTCAAAAGTCAATGCTATATTGGTATTTAATAATTAGTGTTTCGGGATGACTCAGTATGAGTCACAATTCCATCTACCACATTGTGAATGATATAATAATGGTAGAGGAATACAATACGGTAGTTTGTTGTCTTCTAATATTACTTATAGTGTTCCTGTACTGATAATACTCATTGTCTGAGTGCTTTCGTAATAATGGTTGAAGAGTATAATACTGTTGTGCATGTATTTTACTCTGAAGCTGTGGTTGTCATCATATTTTGATAGTGCTCTTGTACTAATTAGTCTGCTTTAAAAAAGTTCTAAATTTACTCAAACATATAAACTGGAAGGTTAGGAGACTAGGACTAATTTATTATTGGAATAAAATTATAATTCAAGCGACTTATTACAAACAGTAAGTACTGTAATGTAATGCAGAGGTAGTACACTTCTTAGGTATACTGTACTTGATTACCGGTATAAATATTTAAAATTGCTACAAATGTAAATTCATAGTGCTACAGTAGTGAAAATTTGTTCAAGGTCCTAAAAATATTGAGTACAAAAGCTCAATATATATTTATACCATTGAACAATAGATTTAAGTAGTGGAACCAAGTTAATAGCCTGTTGCCATTCCCATGCTCTACTGACTAAGCTGAACTGCTCTAGATAGCATGTGGCTGATACAATCACAGTGTTTTTTCTCCAGGTCTATGTAACAACTTGCTTATTAAGTAAAGCAACAGTTTTATATGACTCTTATTACTTATTAATACAGTATTTATGTTTACGTAGTACATCCTACAAGGGACCTAATGGTCCACAACCACAGGGTAGTAGGGGCTATATGGACCTGTACACTGGGATAACCCCCTACTAATTTCAAAAGGTGTACCTGGTTCTTTAAAGTGCACATGAGCCAATTGTATTTACAGTCCTTATCCGAGAAGACTTGTTCCACTACCAGAACCATAGACGAGTGTGCCACTCGAATCAGCGCCGATGGCTGTAGGTTGTGGTGTCCCCTGCTTTAAACTACTTGGCCATTCGACATGCTTTTTTATAGTAATTGATAGAATACCTGTACAAATAAATAACACGTCTTTTTATAACTTACTCTGTTAAAGGTGGTAAACCTGCCTAACTAAAATTTACTAGATATCAAATGGTGTCCATACAGTATGACAGTGAGTCTGACGACATATATTTTTTCTTAGTTTATTGAACCACATATCTTCTCATATTCTTAAATGTGGAAAGTAGTTAAACCTCTTGTATTTTTATATTTTTCAGAAACTGAAAAGATGGAGGAATGATGACAGTAGAACAGGATGGTCCACGGGTTGCTGAGTACCTGATAGTTGCTGGCCTATCAGAGACCTCCAGACCACTAGATGAGGGCCTACCGAATGATTCTCATTTGAAGGCTTCGTCCACGCCGAGTGAACCCATCACAGATGTAGCAGTGATATTGCGAGGGCATGGCGAAAAGGTTTGTACACTGTTATTCCCAAACATTATATTGCAATTTATTTGAAGATACACATCCCTTCCTCATCACATAAAAACTATTTTAAATTAAAAGGTCATGAAAGTTGAAATGAATTGTGTGTTCGACTAACTAAATCTGCCCTCACCGAACACTTTTATCAGTAAAAGATGTTCTGTAGATGTACCATTCTAAACTGTGTAAACCCCAGTGTAATTCTTGTAAACTCAACTCCTATCTAATTTGTGGGTCATAGCCTAAATTTGGGTCGCCAATAGTTCCCAGTAGGTCAGTAGGTCACGAAAAAAAATCTAAATAATGAATTTTAAAACATTAAAAAAAAAAAAAATGCAGCAAAGTTCATCAATACGGTTATCGTATTATTATCCACTAAAGATTAACTTTTATTATCTTTACTGGTAGTGCCAGTATGACTGATTAATGAAAACAATCTAATTGCTACTACTAATTATCAGGGTAGGAAAACAACCCTTCAATTTGCTTGAGTAAATAACTACAATGATGATAAGATACGGGCATTACATCTATTTGTGTTTCACACATGAGTTTTCAATTACACATCTCAATGTCCTTCCACAATGAGTCTTGGAATAATGCTATCACAGCTATGAAACGAAAAAACAAAAACAAAAAACAAAGTACCTGTGGAAGGTATATTATACTAGGTGTTAAGTTTTGAAGCAAAAGTTTATTCTGCTAGATCTTAATTCAAAGGCACTATTTTAGAATATATTGGTATCCATGATAACTTTTTGACCTGGTAGCAAAAGTAGCAGGTCAAGCCAATTTCATTTCGGTAGCGCTATTCTAGTAGCATTTAGCAATACTAAATCGCAATTCATATATGAAATTACGTGGACGTAGAGTTCCTATATAGAGAGAGTTGCGAAAAGAGCGGTTCAGGTCATGTGACTACTGGCCGCCCTCTATCTGCCATCGTGGTGCCAATTGATCAAGTCAGTGGTGCGTAGCCAACACAAATAAGATAAGCTTCAAAGCAAAATTATTGAACTCATGTTACCTAAAAATCCATAACGAAGAATCGTATCACATTATTTTTTTTCTGGAAATGTTCTTAAAAGACTATTCTACACCACTATATAAGTTTTAAGAAATGAAAAAAATGTTTCGACCTCTGCCACAAGATGGGAAAAGAAGAGCCTATCTAAATAGTGTATTAAAATAGGCCTCTGCAGTACAGTACATAGGTAGGTAGTATTAGACCTAGATAGCTATAAAAGTAGCGTAGTACTTTTTCAGTTACTGTATGACTTACGAATTTCTCTTATAATTATATACTGCTAGTTATTTTGGAGATACCCTCAGACTGGGACCCTAGCTGAGGCGTGCCACAAACACCCATTTACTATACGAATTTCTAAGTTGTCTAGTGCAAAGGCCTAGGCCCTGTCGCCTACTATTTTATGAGCCGAGCAAACGCGATGTTGCACGCCTAACTAAGGCGCTATGCAATTTTGGTCAAGCAAAAACTGCATGTAATGTGATAATTAATAATAGCATATTGAGAATCAATTTCTTTTGGAATTTTGTTATAAATTTCAAACACATGTTGATTAACAGATGTTTACTATCAAATGACATAAAATTTTCTTATTAATATTTTTATTTTTTTCAATTGTCTATTATTTTTGCAATTACCACACTGTAGCATAGGCTTTGCGTTCACTCATGCATGCAATGCACCAAAATGAATACCGAGCAGCGCCTCATGTCGCAACTCTCTATATAGGAACTCTACTTGGACGCAATTGAGGGAGAACGTAGTGCACCTCAAAGTTAAGGCAGTGGTTCAACCAGTATAGTAAGGAACACAACATTTTCTCATATTTTAATCTACATTGTTGACCATTGTACTAGACTATTTTTTGAGTATGATACCCAATGACCAAATTGAACACAGCAAAAAATCTTGCCAAAATTCGATCATTATTTTTAATGAGTATCCAAGGTGAAAAAAGAGGGAAATGGGTCCATCCTGTAAAAAATCCCTAAACAAAAAAAAATTGACCCACTATTTGTTTTTTCAAGAATTTATTATTATAATTAATGATCTGTGTAAATAATTAATATTGTCAAAAGAATCAACCAGAAAAACATTACTTAAAATAATAATTACTTATAATAATTAGCTTATTTTTATTATCATTACAAATAAAAAGCTTAAAACTATGTAAAATGTTAGATTTATACCATTTACCACTTAGTTCACAGACTCATGTGCATCTCAGTCTACATCAGATTACCCGTACAACATATGTTGTCTAGTCAGTTTGTAATATCAGTATTGTTAATTTTCCTTTTAGTCAAGACCGGATAAATCATGGAAAGATAGTAAACTCTGTGCTTGCAGTCATTATTGGTAGATTGGTGTAATTAGAATTTAATGGTTATTGCAGTTCATCAATTATTTTTGACACATTTTAACATTTTTATTGTTAAATGTATGTCGCCAGTTACATAATTTAACTGGACACGCTGCTTATATCTTTACTCTGTTTTATCCAGAATCATTATACTAAATATATATTCCTTCATTCAAGGAAAATAAAAGCTTGACAAGTGTTAGGATTTAATGTTATCTGTGTATTTAGCGTTCATTTAACTCACTCATTTATCAAGATTAAACAGTAATAGACATATTCAAGTCCTATGAACTACTTAAGAAAGTTTTGCGCAACGACGGTAAGATCTAGAATGCCATAAAGCATGTAGAATCATTTTCTTAGCAAGTTTTCCATGTTTTCTGACTTCTGGTGCATACTGTAGTTTGGCCCATATTTATGTTATGCAGAAAACGTACGACAGTAACAAATTGAAATCTTCGTTTTACATCATTTAGATACAGTAGATGGTTGTGATTTTGTTTGTCAATTTAAGTATACATTTTTTCACAACCAATAGTAGATATACAGTGTTATACTCAGCATTATGTCAAACCGTATGCCATGTAAACAAAGGGTATGTTCACACACACACACACACACACCCACACACATTGTTAGGCTGGCATAGATTACACCAGGCCTACATTAAGCTAATCCAATGCATAACCTTCCGAAGTGTTCATACAAATGAGCCTGATTAACTAATGCCGTGCATAAAATGCAGAAGTCAGTACTCGTTTCCTATACATGCTGAGGAAAAGAGTTAACGATGGTAAATCTCTAATCATCAAGCAATATGACCTAAATTCTATCGATTGCACAAATTAGGATGTGTACATTGAACAAACGTTCATATTTTTTGACGGGCTTTAAAATTACCGTTTTTTGCTTAAAGTTATCCAAGAAAGTTTTATTTATGACAATGTAGACACAAAATTCTTCTTTCCTTAGATTGGAAAAATATCTTGATTATGACTATATAGGGATTGTTCAACATTTTCAAAAGTGTACAAACAATACGCTAGGGGGGAGGTGGTAGACAAATTTGTACACTCTTACTGTACATATGCATAAAAATGCTGATTCAAAATAACATGCAATATGTAAGATAATGATAAAATTATAGTGTAACCATGGATATGATATTTATTTTAAGCAACCAAATACTTTGCTTTAGTTTACTTCACAAAAAAAATGGAGAATGGTTTTGCAAAATCAACATTCTACACTTTCAGAGGGGAGGGAGTGGATACCAAAAAAGAATACTGTTTGTACACTTGTGAAAATGTTGATAGTTGTCAACGAACCCATACTTATCATGGTTGGTCAAACACCTTTATCCTAGGTCAAAATCTGAAGCTTGACTGGTGTAAGCTAGTTTGCGTTAGCCTGTCTGGTACTTTTGGCTGGTACAGTTTAACTACCTGTAGAGTTAAGTTGCGTAACTAAACACCAGCTAAGTTGCACAGCATTTGGCATCTAACGCTTGGTTCCCATACGGTATAAACCTCCGATATTACGCTATTCTTTAGGACCCTTTCAGACAGAAAAGTGTAAGATTACAGCAATATTGCGGCAACAAAGGTGCTGTGTGAAGGGGTGCGAGACCAGTTATTATGCCAACATTCTTCCCGCAATATTGCGGCAACATCTATCTGAAATGGGCTTTAGAATGAAGCATATATTACGGCAACCTTAAGCTGTGTGTCTGAACATATTCTTTTATGACTAGAGTAAAAACGTTTTTGACATTTTGAACCCAGGATTCGTGGATTAGGAAATATCAACTCCTTAAAAATAGGCTTCCAGCAACAGGTTTTTTGGGGCTACACATTAATCTTGCAAGTTGGCAGTGGTAGCCCTAATTATTATACAGTACATTGTTTTGGTTCTTTCTAGCATAGCCTTAAGCATGGCATCATTTTATAGGCTTATAGAGCTAGCTGCATGACTCTTCACCCTCACTAAAAAAAAAAAGGAGGCTCCCAGTGGGAGTGTGTGTCTACCTTATATTGTAATACATGTACTAATCTGATAAAAGGTAAAAGCTGGCCAAGCGAGACAAACCTTTGCTTATGATGTAATATCATGTACCTCACTGGATTTACTCAAACAAGTAAATTTCCAGATAGCTAAGTGTCTACTGACCCCCACGGGTAGTAGACACAATATGCGAGACTGTTGTTTCTATCATCCCAATGACACAATGACGGCCGGTATCCCATCATTACTCCAATCGGATACTTTTACACCAAATAATCTTACATGTATAGAGATGATAGGAAAGTGTCTACTGCCTCAGCTAGCGACCAGTGGACGAAAAGAACGGTATGTAACGAGGCGATAGACAACAAACCGTTGAAATAATACTAGACCAAGTGACCTAGATTGCCACTTGTCTTACTGTATTTATTAATTGTCCAGTTTGTAAAGACCTTTATATAGAGTTCATTATTATTTAACCTGGTAAATCAAGATACTATCAATGCTATATTACTAAAACAAATGTAAATTTGCACAGGCCTTGTATTGCTATATTATTTTAAAGAACATTTTTTGCCTTGGTAACCTTTCAGGTTTTCTCTGATCCTGATCATAACAACTTCTGGCTCATTTCTTCTATTAGGCATGTTTCATTGTTGTCTGCTTCTAATGGTATACAATTTCAAATACAAAATAAAGGCCAGTGCTTTTGCCATTCATTTGGGATTAAACTATTCTCATATCGGATATGATGTATGGTGTAAAATTAATAGTGGCTGGTGTTTAGTAGTCATGTGGGATTAAATCTACTTTTGCTGGATATGATTCCGAGTATGTTTGGGATAATCTCAGAAATTTGTAAATCGGGTAACATTAAAAATTTAAGTTACTTTCTGTATAATGTGAGATAAAATTCAATAATTTAGTTATTAGATTGTAAATTTAAGTAGCATAAACATTACAGAGAATGAACATTACTCCAAATTAATGAGGAGGCAACGATTCAACGTTCAAACTTTATTAGGTCATCTTGTTTTTTGGGTCATCTTTATTGTGTCATCTTCATTCATTTAAAATCAATTTAAATCTATTTTAGACTCCATCTGCCTTAAAAGAAGCTAGATTTGGTTTGAAGTTGGCATTAAAAGCAGAAGTTTATATCTTTTAAATGACAAGTCAAGTTTTGTTCTAGATTTCATTCCATTGTGTTCAGTACTACCTTTTCTACTACAGTATTCATCCATCTCATGTGAATTGCAACTTCATATATTTAAAGTTCTTCAGATTTTTCAATTTATTCTGGTCATGTTGGAGGAGTATCATGCATACAGTATGATGTGCATAGTGCATACATTACTGAAAAGTCATATGATACACTCATCAATGTATGCAAAGGTTTTAAGAGTTTTTATGCTGCTTTTACAAATAAATTACATAGTAAAGACGATGATACTCAAATGCAGAATGACACTAAAAATGATAACCTATCATAAATATTGATTAGTCTTTTCAGAAATGGCTTTGAAACATAATAAATGATAGTAAAACATTTCTGCTGACGGCCAAATACTGTAGATAATGTTTCTTGTCTCCTTCCAAGTAATTTTTAGGCATCCCTTATTTTATTTATTCTTATATATTTACAGTAACACAAAAAAAGGTTTTAAAAACCCAGGAAAAAAACATTATTTTAGAATACTAAAAAGAAGGGAAAAATGTAATTTGGAAAAGTTCTTATTAACATTAAAATTTAAATATAATCTCATGATAGCAATCTTTGTGCAAAATAGTTGGAATGGAATGTACAAACCTTACTGGCTGATGAATTAAAGCATTTGATGGATTTGTTGGTTTTTTTTTTTTTCCCTCCTACTGTAATGTCTGTGAGTGTTAAATATATAGAGGGTCCATATGATTCTTTTAATTCTAAATAAAATTGATAACTGAATTTAAAAATACAGATAAATAATTGGTATTACATTCTTTTTTATGGGAGATGAAACCAGGAATACAGTAAGCAAATATCCTGTAGGCAAAGGTTAAGATGATCAACAACAACAAAAAAAACTTTAAAAAAACCAAAAAAAACAATTGCTGTATTTCTATGAAAATATTTAATTATTATGCAACAATAGAATTTGGCATAAAATAAGCACAAGAAGGAAAAGAAATGATTAAATTTTTTTGGCCGTGTATACAGTAATAGCAACCTTCTATAGGAACATCTTTAAGCACTTCAAATTTGGAAGATGGATATAAATTTGCCCATATTAGTGTTATTATTCTCAGTACTCATCTTGTTAGATAATTATTTGAGAGCTCTTTACACTGAGACCTGCAAATTAGAGACTGTATTTGAGATTTCTAGAAGACGTTTTAAGTATTTCTTTGAGCTGCTGCCAAGTAGATACAAGGTCAGTCAAGTATGTACTGCTTACAAATTCACACACAAATTATGCTTTGGCACTTTATGATATATTTCAGATTTTATTAATTCTAAGTTTGATTGGTATAGTTTAAAAATATGATTATCTAAACATTTCACAATATAATATTTTGTGGTGCTATAGATTGGTAGATGAAATAGTCTTCAAATTCTAGAATCTTGCCTTCAAATTATGCAAATCAACAGCATGTCTATTTGGTAGTCTTCATCTTCAACTACACGATTGGCATATTGTACCCGTATTCCTACTGTCCATTAAATAATCAAGTTTACTGTCTGTCTGTAACACTAATGTCCCATTCTAGCTATTAGAGGTAATACTTCTATTGAAGTGAACTTGTATCAACCAGACATAACTCAACCATGCCAATCAAAAAATCAGAAAAAGACCTCAAAAATAATTTTGTAGTTTACAGTAAGAGGGATGGGATTTGGGTGCCAAGCATGATTAGCTCTAGCTATACATTGGTTACCTTGTGTACTCAACTCATTGATACAATAAAGAATATGATTAATATATTGTAAAGATTTTAATTGCTCATTAATACAAGTTATTTCAACTTCCAATAATTTACAAATCCCAAAAAAAAAATTTTTAATTGCTCATTAATACAAGTTATTTCGACTTCCAATAATTCACAAATCCCCCCAAAAAAAAAGATAAAAAAAATAAATAAAATAAAAAATCAGTAGATTTACAGACTACAAAATTCTTTGGCTGAAATTTAAGGGTATAATAGTATGTGCAGAAGATACAAACATCTGTTAATTTTAGAGATAGTTGGTTGTTCAAATTTTATTGTTACTCATGATTTTATGTTTTATCATTGCCATCAATACTAAATTTATTTATTTTGAAATGTTTATTTTAATACTGTTTTACAATTTTATACTTATACTTTAGATGTTTTACAGTAAATGTTTCCTTGGACTTTAGTGTATGCTAACACCCACACAGTGTGAGCAGAGATTAAATTATGCAATGTTCAGTAAATTTTTGTTTTACACAAACAGGTGCCAGCTGGGTTTACATGTATAGAAACGACGCCCACAGGTTTCCCAGCGGATCTAAGCCATGGCTGTATTGGGAGTCCAAACATATTTCTTTGCATTAAACGAGGGTTTGACAAGCCTCCACTCACTGATATTGGGTAGGTTTAATGAACATGTAATTCCCCATCAAATTATTTAAAATGTGTCTTTAATATTTGTTGATTTTTTCACACCAGTCTGTACTGTCCGACCACTATGTATTGGTCTAGAAAACAAATGTGATTATGTCTTCATCATCATCATCATCATCATCATCATCATCCATCATCATCATCATTATTTATTTATTTATGTATTTATTAACCTTTTTTGAGTGGGCTACCCTTACACAACATGTTTTGCAATAAAATAAATGTATGTAAAAATATAGCCTATATCTACCAATTAATCATTATCAATAATTACCATTAACACAGTTATCATCATTACCACCATGATTATTACAGAAATAATTAAGTGCAGTAGAACCCGTCCTTTGTGAATCCAAGAATATTTTTGTGTATTAAACAAGGATAGGATACTTTTCGGCCACAAAATGAAGGAAAGTATCGTTTCAGGGGACACCCCCGTGAAGAGGGTTGCCTCTTTTTGCCTGTAATAGGGATTAAAACTGTATAGAAATTATCTTGTAACAAGAAGATTATTCTCCTTTAAGTAGAACTGTTCACCTTTTTGTTTAGTTAGATTAGTGGGATTTTTTGAAAGTGTGAATTGTAGCTCCAGAAATGTGTCATAATTATATCATAATCATCATGATCATAATTGATGTAATCATAATAATTATCATATGTTCCTAATTACTTTATATAAGCAGTATTTTATAAATCATAAACTGTTTCATTTTTTGTAACTTTAGAATTCTATACGAAGGAAAGGAACGTGTAATGAATGGGTGTGAGATTATCAGTACCACGCCAACAGGACATCCAGCTAATGTCAACAACAGTCGTATAGGTGTTGGAGGACAACGTGCTTACATCACGTATAGAAGAGCACAATCCACATCTCCTCAGAATTCCCTAGCAGTTTATGATATATGTGTTATACTAGCCAATAAAGTAAGTCTTCATACTCGCTATCAAATGTGTGTTGCATGTTGCTCTAGCCGTTTTCTGAAAATATTTGGCGCTCGTTGATCGACTTTCTAGTCAGAGAACTATTAAATACTCTGAATTTGACATTTGTTGGTAAAAATGTCTATGCACCTGGTCAGGTTGACCCAAAATTTTATGAGGCAAAGAGTGTAGGTTTTTCTGTCTTGGTGACCTTTCTAGAGAAACTGCCATATTAAGAAGTGTGTCGTCGAATGGCATGTTTGGATATGTGTATCCAGGTCAGGAATATGTCTCAGCTACAGTGTTAGTCTGCGTGTGTTTGTACAGTGTGCAATCGTGTTTAGATGAATTTGTTTAAAGCTGAATTTTTTTGAAGCTGTTTATTTTTATTTTAACTATAGGGAGAATCTCCTCCGCATGCGTTCTGTAAGATTAACAAGAATTTGAATAAAGGTGCAGTGGTTGGATCCGATGTTTACATGTGCTACAAGAAATCAGCCATTAAGAGTGATTCTGTTACTTTTCAACCAGGTGAGATGATTTGTATGCTTTTGGTGGTCACTAATTCAGGATTACTTCCTAAATATAACATAATTTGGAATATCAAGAAATAAATCTCGCTCACTTTCATTACATTTTTATTTTCTTTTTATGAGGGATGGATGTAGTACAAGAGCCCTTAGTGCCAAGTATAATGTGGTCAGATATGTATTCAAAATAAATACAATTCTTGTACACAATCAAGTGGTTAGGTATTCTGTAGGAAAGAAAGTATGAAAAGGAATTATAATAACTATGGGCGTAGTACTAATGATATTAATATCAGTGATGATTAGATTCAAACTCCAACACTAACCTAATTAGCGTTGTACTACATATTAATGAATAATATTAATAGCTTAGTTTTTTTTTACATGTATTTTTCTTGTAAAATGATTTTAGACTATTTTTCAAATCATTCAAATCTCTTCTTAAAGTTAATTTTTTCCATAGTTCATACTTTTTAGTGCTGTGAGGCTTTGGTAAAAAGCGCCGCTATATAAATGCTAAAATATTATTATTATTATTATTATTATTATTATTATTATTATTATTATTAAAAATAAATGTGTACATTCAAAGAATAACTATTGGAACTATTTTATTTGCAACTTTTGTTGCTGAAATATAAGAAGAAAGCAATTTATATTTTATTCATTTTTTGCTAAATATAGGCACAATCTTTTACACATATCTGATGCTTTCTCTCTTTCCCCCCAGAAACATTGAGCCGGTATCCTCTAGAGGACCATGAATCCTTCACTTTACCTGATTCCGTGTCCAGGTTTTGCTTGCCTATGGGTGCTGTTATCGAATGCTGGTCCAGGGAACGCATGCATCCTTTACCGGTATTCTCCACATTTATTCTCACAGATAGTACAGGTGACAAGGTAGGATATGTTTGTACACAATCTTTAATTGTCTCTCAAAGAAAAATTAGAAGTTATTTATGTTTGGTACTATCTGTCATGCAAGAAGAATTGTCTCACAAATTTTGGAAAGCTTGGACTTGAATTATATTAGAACCCACTCCTTCAATGGGCATTCCCTTGAATAATGTTTCTGAGGTCCCTCAAAACAACATACATTTGTTATTGGAACTATGTATAACATCATCAACAATTATCAATAACAATTTGTGTATTTATAGATATATGGTGCTGCTGTTACATTTTATGAAACGTACCCAGAAGAGAGTCTCACACCCCAACAGAAGATTGCTTTAAACATCAAACAGAAGAAGGAAGATGGATACAACATCCACACCAACAAGGCAGTCTGTCTACTCTCCCGTTGGCCATTCTTCGAGCCCTTTAAGAAGTTCCTCTCATTCTTATACAGGTTGTCAATATCAGGGCCTCATGTAATACCTATTGAAAGGTAGGTTTCCATTGTGATTTTGATATAATCGTTGGTTTTCTGTTTAGTTTTAAATAAAACAAAATGACTGAAAAGAGACAAAGACATTTTGAGATTCAGCGTTTCAATCTATTTGATCATTATCAAGAATACTTGATATTGATCAAATAGATCGAAGCAATGAATCTCAAAACGTTTCAATCTATTTGATCATTACCAAGAATACTTAATATTGGTCAAATAGATCGAAACAGTGAATGTCAAAACGTTTCAATCTATTTGATCCTTATCAAGAATACTTGATATTGATCAAATAGATCAAAGATCTCAAAATGTCTCTTTTCAGAGTTACTGTCTTTTAGTTTTGTTTTTTATTTAATTATAATTAATTGTTATTTTTTGGTTTTATTGTTATTAATACAGTATTATTAGATTTATATTGACATTATTATCTAGTTGATGGCAGCTAGCAATGAATTAACACAAAGTAGTTTGTACTAGTTAGTAATAAATACTAAAAATGTGAGCCAGCCAACTATAATAAGCAATTGTAGTATTTTAGAGATTAGTTTGTTTACAAAAAGTAAAACACAAGCCTTACATTACTGTAGGTAGTGGTATGCTATCTGTCATATTGTACTATTAATATGGTGCTGTTATGTTTATACAACATTTGTTTCCTTTACAGGTATATTGCACACTTTATTCATGAAGTTCCTTTTCCAACTACACAAAGACCAAGAATTTTAGTTCCTGTAAGTTGCTTAGTTTTTTCTTTATTATACATTTGACCCAAACTGTTTACTTCATAAGTGTAAGTTTTGTTGAACAATATTAAAGAGTCTGAGTGATTAAAGGAAACAATTTGTATTAAAGCCTATCAAATAACATAAACAATGTGGTTAAAAATCACTATTTGTGGACCATAAATACTTATATTTTCTGATAAAGTCATGTATCATGCATAGGAACGTTGAAGCCTGAAAGGCTCTGGTTATGTGATTTAGAGTACATGCCAACATTCATGTAAATACATATAAACCTTAATAAAATGATTACTAAATGAGGAAGTATTAGGTCAAAACAATTATTGCCAAAATGAACCCATTGTTTATCAGGTGATTCCTAGTGCCTGTGCGAAAATATATCAAATGGATTGCATTAAACGTGCTGAATAAATGTGTTAAATTTTTTTTTAAATGAAATAATTAGTAATTTGAATAAATATATAACAATTTTTTTGTTGATATAGCTTGCTCATGACAAGTTGATCCTGACTCAGCCAAGGATGACAGCGATCCCATTAAGTGGGGCATCGTTCTGTGCACTGCTACGAAACCTTGGTCCTGATAATTGCATGAACCTTCTGGTTTACGCTCTTCTTGAACATAAGATCTTACTACATTCACTTCGACCAGCATTGCTCACAAGTGTTTCAGAAGCTGTATCCAAGGTATGTATATGCCAATTCATTTTTGCTGTCTTAGAATAGATGTTTGACATCCATCTTTATAAATAATCATGCGTACACACATATTAGTAAATGCTTGTTCTTTTTTCAGGTGATCTTTCCTTTTGTATGGCAGTGTCCCTATATTCCACTCTGCCCTTTGACCCTATGTGGTGTCCTTTGTGCTCCTCTTCCATTCATTGTCGGTGTTGACTCGCGTTATTTTGACAGCTATGAAGCGCCCTCTGACGTGACATGTATTGATATTGATACCAACAGTCTATTACAGTAAGTACATTTCCTTTGATTTTTGCTTTGAGGATAAGTTTGTAAAGCTTTCATTCATCCTACTTAAAAATGGAAACATACAGATCTTTCCATTCTTTGATTGGTTTGTACATACTTTGACAGCAAACATAAAAAGACTCCAGCCATGATGACCCTTGTAAAACACTGTTAGAATTAATGTATGTGAATATTAACAAACATGAATGTAGTAGTAGTTTCACAACATTGCATAATGTAACAGTTTAGCAATGTTTTGTATTAATGTATTGCTGTTTTGTAACTTTTGTGCTGTTTATTTAAGCTATAATCATAACATATTGAAACTATAACAAAGCAAAACTTGTTTACCTTTTTCTTTTACAGATGTGACGATCGAAAAGGTCAAAATTGGAAGATCCTTCCAAAGGTTATTAGACAATTTTGTTTGTTCCTAGTATTGTCATAATAAAACAAATTATTTAATATATTATAATATATATATATATATATAATATTGCACAAATTCAAAAACACACACAAAAAAATAAATAAATAAATAAACATCTATTTTAATATATCCTGGTAATAAGAAATTCAAACTTTATTTAATAAAAAAAAAAAAAAAAAATTTTTTTAATATTCACATGCTCAGGAATTATTGGTAGTGGTTTAATATTTTTTTGTTGATTTTCATATCAGAAACCTGCAAAACGACTTCATGCGAAGTTGGATAGTCTCTATGTGGAGCTCTGCCAATCAAATGTCTGGGATGGCATTTCAGATGATCTGGCTGTTGAGATAGCTCCACTGGACAATGATTTTAGTCGCAAAAAGAAACAGGTAAGTTTGCAGATTCGGGTCCAGTATTTATAAGATGAGCCATCAAGCATCATTATCCACTCAAACAGGTGTACAGATACTAAATTTAAATAACATAATGGTTGATGGTTGTTTCATTAATTAATTGATTAAATTAATTTGTAATTTTTCTGTAGGCCCACATGGAGTTGTGTATTCAGGAAGCGTTCCTTGTGTTCATGGCATCAATGTTGAAAGGATATCAACAGTATTTGTTACCTATTACCCAGCAACCTAACATGAGGACCATGGATGCGACTTCCAGGTTTGACGGCCCAGGTAAATTACAGCTGCTCCTATGACTTTACACACAATATTTTGATGTCAATTTTATCCAATCAGATAGCACTAACAATATACATTAATAAGGGCATAAAGGATGTGATTTTTATCAAAAAATATAGAGTACCACAGTCGTGTTGTCACATCGCCAGATGGCACTCTCTGTTGTCAACAGACATTGGTTGCCGTTTATTACGCCTGAATGACTTCATAGGCTTTCTGGAATAGGCATTTTAATATCTAATATTTTACCATCAAAATGTACTAAAAACACAAAAGCTTGCATTATATTAGTTATCAAACACACATTTAATCATCAATTAAAATTTACAAAGAAAAAGTAGGATACAACATCTTAATAATTACCATAGAAATTGTTTGTCAGTGGAGAAAATGACATTCGGTTGAATGCATTTTGCAACGATAGTAACGGAGTAGTATCACGTGGTATCGTGACGTAACACTGTAGTACTCTATGCGATTGGTGTTTTTTACAAGGCAGTTTAAAAAATAAAAAAAAATCCCAGTGGAAAATAAAGGAAGAGAGTGTTCCATTGAAGGAAGGTCTGATTGATGTAGTGACAGACCCTTCAACTTTAATCAAGTAATGTATGTCTAATTATATAATCTGGTCTAAGAATATATATACAAATCAAGAATATACTGTATTAAATCAAGAATATACTGTATTAAATCAAGAATATACTGTATTAAACTCTAACAATAATGAGATAGGAATTTAAATTTTTTGTAAAAAAACAAGTTACAATCTTTGATAGAGTGTATCTTGTATTGCTTTTTAAATTCCCTTTTGCCTCTCTTTCTGATAGGTTTCATCAAGAGCAGAGATAAGATGTCACATGCATTCTTCAAGCAATTTATCAAAACTCAGATGTTTATGTTCTTCATTGAAGAACGTTCTTTTGTGTCACATAATGATGATATCTTTAACTTCTTTGATGAATGCACTCGAAAGGTAATTATGTTCCCTTACAACACAAAAAACGTGGAGATATGGTATATTATTTTAGATATTAAACATCTTAGTCACATTGACTAATTTAAGCATTAAGATAGTGATATGTTCACTAGTTGAAACACCTTAAAAGGATTTGCAAGTAGTGAAAACATCACTGTGTTACTTATAAGTGGCAATCATTTAAAGTGACATCTACTCATACAGTATTGACATTACAGGAAGTGACATCACTGATCATGATTCTAAATATTGACCTTAAGATTGAAGAGTTCATGTGAGTGAAAAGGCACACCTTTCAATCCCAAGGTTCTCAGATTTTCTCACAACTACTGTATAAAGAGCTTCACTCCCACATTTTCTTTCATAGACTTAATAATAGAATAAGAAGGTTCCTGATTAGGTAACATGGTGGTATTAATGAATATATTATTTCTTGGAAAGTTATTGAAATTGATGAAAAAGTCATTATTGCCATGCCTACAATACTAAAAATGGAGAGCACCAACCTCTATTCATTTCAACAAGTAAAGTAATGTTTTGAGAGTCCTTTGCATTTCTATTAAATATAGAATTTTAACTGTAAAATATTAAAATGTATTTTCCACAGGTTGACTCTGAAAGTAGAGAAGAGCTTAAGTTTTTGGAGACTGAAGATTCCTCGCAGAGTAGTGAGCACACAGTGTATGTTGCCCCACCTGAACCTGTAGGCAATGAGGATCAGAAGGGATATAGGTACATTTTACATGTTTCTGAATTATGTAGCAGCTCTATCCACTACTCCACAGACATAAATTAAGCTGTATACCTGTCTCTTATACTGTTTTTTCCAACGTTTGTGATTTAACCCTCATTGTAGCTCATAAAATGTAAATATTACTTTTTAATCTAAAGATGTTGTCTTCTACAGTTACAATGTATTTCCTCGTTTGAATGATAAGTATTTCAACACCTCCACTGCGACGCCATTGAAGCGAGGCAGAAGCACCAAAAGCATTCCAACTAGTCCAGTGCCACGACGAACAAAACAGGAGATAAAGAGTTCACTAGAATTGGCTAAGAAGCAAGCATCATCTCCAGAAGAATGGGCAAAGTATGTATCTCTAAATAAGTGGCTTAAGCCCCTTTCAGACAGAAAATACCGCAATTATACAGTAGTCACGCCAACGCTATTGCCGGTGTAGACCCTTTTACACAATTAGTAAAAATTTGGTATTAATACCGTATCCTGTCTGAAAGGGATCCCGCGCGAAAGGAGTATTTTGCGTCTGTGAACAAAGAGGGCGCAATTTTATATTGGCAACCCTGATCTAAAAACAACTCTTCGCGCGTTCAACAAAAATGTTTTGCACTTTGACCTCTGATTTGTTATGCTTCAGTGCGTAAGACTGCAATGAACCACTACAGTATTAATGCGTTATTTTGACTAGGTCCCGAGGAGGTCTACCTAAGCCGCCGTTTTAGGCGTATTTACCCTTTCACATAGAATGCCAGGGTTCGCGAAAAACGGTATTAATTCTGTATTGCAGCTCTGTGTGAAAGGGGTATTATTTAACTTTTTGATGCTACAGTTATCTTTGTTTTTTTAAATTTTATGGCAGTTGGTGTTGTTTTTAGTGGTATTTTGAAAAGTAGATATAACTTTGTAAGATGCCAGCCTTCCAATCTCACAGTCCTGGGTTCAAATCTTGCGATGATCCAGGATTTTTTCTCAAAAACTAAAACATCTTCACACCTAGCTCTCATAAAGAGACTGAGTTTATAGATCATTATTTGATCTTTTAATTGGCAAGTGTACTCACTGTTAGATGTTAATGTATAAAATACTTATTATTATTATTACTATTGATTGATTAAGTAATTGCCATAGTGGTCAATATTTTTTGATATCCATTTTTCAACTTCCACTAGATGTCTTATGGGTAATTGCTATAGTATATGGTTTACGCATCTACCATCTTACGTGAAGTCAAGCCACTCAAAGACAAGAGCGCTCCGGACCGCTTTCACTGTTTTAAAAAAGATGCAGGCTTATAATCTTACTTTAGCAGATGAAGTGTGCTACCGCGTTATAATGCAACTTTGTGGCCAGTATTGTCAGCCAGTTCTTGCTGTGCAGGTCTTTATGGAAATGAAGAAAAATGGGATCACCCTTAACGCCTCCACATATGGCTATTATAATAAGGTTTGCATTCAAACTTGATATTGAAGTTTTAAATTCAAATTCGTTTTTACTAAACCACAATAATATATATGTACTTTTGAAGCTTTGTGTGCTTTTAGCAACACTTCTCAGGCAATGAACTGTTGATGGTTTCAGTTCCGATTTTTAAAAAAAAAGCTGCATTGATAGAGTTAATATAAGAACTAGAGTGTGAAGTGTGGTGTTAGGGGGAAATTGCATGAACTCCATTACATCGGATGCCACATGAGGCCTTTGTGCTAAAAAATACATAACTATAACTGTATAGTATAACTTTATTCTATCAAATTTTGCAGGCTGTTTTAGAAAGTCCTTGGCCGACGTCATCATTTACTGCCTACCAGCAATGGATCAAGCTACGTAACGTAATAATGGCGGTAGCGCAGTTCCGTCAAGGTCTCAAGAGGTCCAACTGGGACACAGTCAGTGAAACTGACACTCGCAGCGGGAGTAGCGTTGATGTTGATATCGTCATCGGGGACGCTAAACCAGAGATCCAACTGATTGACATTGCAGGGAATTTGACCAGAGAGGAAAAATGCGGAACAGGTAAACTTAACTTTTTATGTTTTTTTTGTAATATCTTACTCTGGAAATGTGATTATTTCATGTAAATTCAGTGTCTATATATTCTGTTGTGGCATTCAACATTACAAGAAAGAGCACTCTGCTTGATAGTTTGCTTAGGCATACAGCAAAGCTAAAATTACTTATTCTACAGCATATGCATTATGATAGCATGATTGTGATTTGTGGAATGGATGAGAATGAAAAGCTATTATGACAGTATTGAGGCATTGTTCATTCAATGATAATTCCTGCAGTATACAGGCTTTGAAGTGTGTGTTGTTCCTTCCCTAGGCAACTCGGATATGGGATACGCATCAATGATTGAGAGCCTAGGTAGCACCGACTTGCTCGGCTCTCCAGATGCAACGATTGTTCCAGTACAAATGAGTTCTCCGGCTAGCCCGTCCCGGAGTCCTCATCTAATGGACAAGAGTCCTCTTGAGGAGGATACCACTCAAACTCTGAGTGAGTGCCTTGTAGACTAGAAGTTTATTTTGATGTCTTGATATTTGTGTTGTGTGATTTACCAGCTACTTTGCCTACCATTTATCACAAAATCTATTTAGTGACAACAAATTATTATTATTATATTTATAATAATTTATTGCTATTTGAATTATTTGATCATGCAAAGCAATCTATAGATGCAAAACAATCTATAGATACAATACGAAATTTTAGGTTTGTGTATCTGTTGACTCGCAATATTGTTTGTTATATAATTTATATGATAATGTAGGCAAAGAATCTGTACCTTCTGATTGGTGGCTTGTTTTTTTTTGCTTGTGTATTTTTGTGTCACTTGATTTCTTTATGCTGATTCTTCATACCATCAGAAATGAATTCGACAAATACATTTATATACAATAACCTCATGGACTCAAAACATAAAATTCACACCAACATGAAATCATAAAATCAGCAGAGATTATATTTTCATGTTTATTCAGACTCAATAACCACCTGTATGAATAATTATGCATCAGCACTTGTGATTACTCATCTCACTATTAGCACCTGCTTATGCTAAAAGCTATGCACATGCCTACTACCTTCACATTTTAATTTTAATTGTAAAAAGCTACTACTTGGCTTTCTATCTGTTAGTAGAGATTCATTCTTGTACAGTAGACCCCCTATTAAGGGGACACTTTCGGGGCTCAAAAAATGTTCCCTGAATAGTGGTTAGCTGTCTTGATAAAAGATATAATTCCCTTGTTACATGGCCTAAAATGTGTCCCCATAATAGGGATGTCCCCTTAATAGGGGTGTTACAAAGGAGGTTTTCTACCGTATTTAATAATACCCAGCTAACATATCCACAATGCCTTTAATATCTACCCTAACAATAATGACAAAATTATGAATTAAAATTTATGATGATAATGTAATATATAGTATATGATTACATTCACGATAATATATATTTATGATGGTATGGAGCTGTAGCTAGATATGAGATGCTTGTATTCCAATCCCAGAGGAGTTGGTTTCAATCCTTAAAAACCATGAATAAAAACTGCTCCACTCATTATGAGACAGTTTACAAACCATACTGGACCCAGTGGGAGAATAGTGTTTTGCTCCAGTATCATTAATAAACAAATACCAAGTCATTTAGATAATATTCTTTGACCATTAATGATAATAGTGTGATGAATAATTTAATTTGTTCAAGATTATAGATAGAACTAAACAAAAAAATATTAGTATTGATAATGATAATATAATAATAAAAATATAGGTTAGCAATATTATTAATGATGAGGATGATAACCATGATGTTTGATGAAATATATAAATCACTTTTCACTGAATGAGCCAAAAGTTTACGCTTTTACCCTGGCAATTAGAAATCATGTACAATATAAACTGCCTCCTGGGGTAGGGGTTAGTCCTAGAAATTCATGAATATTCCAGAACAAATACATTAAGCATAGAGTGTGTATATCCTACCAGATACACAGTTATACTCCTTGCTGAGAGAGTCAAATGTAGAGTGCCGTGTGAATGGTTGTAAGTGGCCAGTGTTGTATTTGAATATTATACAAGGATTTTACTGTTACTGTTTATTCATCATTATCAATAAATTATTTACATTTCACAAGAGAAAAAAGAAAATTTTGTTTTTTATTGATAAATGAATGGAGGCCTGTATATGTCCGGAGACACTTAAGCTCAGGAGATCTATAAAAAAAATAAAAAAAACGATTAATAATTTGAGGCTATAAAAAAGTTTTTTAGCAGTACAATAAATACAGTAAATAAATGTTTACTCGCAACTAAAACTAAATGCACTACATATGGCCCTTCATACACTTTCAGATTTTGAACAATGTTTGATTAAACTTTTGTATTTTGATCAAGAGGGAAATATGCTAAATACATAGAGCCTGATTTGAATAATTGACTTGAATGATTAATTAGATTGATTGAAGATTGATTTATTGAATGATGATTGAATGGTTGATCGGTCGATTGGTTGGCTAGTGGATTGTTTGGTTTTTTGATTGATGGATTGATTAATAGTGTGTGCTTGGTATTTTGTTTCATCGAAGTGTGATTAAACATTGTTGATCTGAAACACAAAAATATGTAGCATATGTCTGGGCTGCTTTATAATGAGGTTTACAGATCCTATGTATTTTAACTCGCAGTTTTCTGCATTTATGCTTACTGTTGGGAATGAAATAGACAATATTCATAAATAATTAATTAATATCATTCAAACATTTCTATAATATTATATTTAACTAAAAAGCACTAATGAATTGGTATTTATATAACACAAATATCACATTCATTCTAATGTTGTTTTAATATATAGATTATTCATCTGTAACGTTCTAAGCTTACATACTGAAACATTTAAAATCTGCTGTTATTAAACAACTTGTAGTGACTGTTTGCATGATATAGGTGACTTAATTAGGAAATTAATGTGCTTTCCCTATTACTGTCAGATTCTAAAGTGCAAAGTCTTAAGCATTGTAAGGTGCAAGGCATGTTGGGAGATTTCCCTGGTGCTGGACCTATTGTGCGCAATTCCAAAGCCAGTCATAGTAGTATCAGCAGCCTGGGCACATTAACAGGTAGTACAAGTAAGTCTTTGGGACATTCTTCACAACTTTTAAGTTCTGAACCGCTGTATACAAAACTGTTTATAATCGCAGTTCAGCTTGGTTACAGTTAAAGTTTTGATCACCATTTTGCTTTCATATTCCGCACGTTATGCCATTTCACATATTATGCACTAGTTAAACAAGTGTGATATTTTGCTGTAGTCACAGGTATAGATTTTTTCCAGCACTTTCTAAATATTTAAGTTTTTCTAATTTAAATTAGGCAAGCTGTTGCTTTTGTAAACTATGCTTTTGTTGTGCTTTAAGAAAATGCTTGAGCCAGTTATTACACTAAAGAGGGAGCTGATCTCGTTAGCTGCTTATTTATAATCACACCTGTCAAATGGATAATTTATGCTTAACATTTAAGTAATTAAATCCTAGATCTAGTTATGAAGAATATTAATAACCTTGCATACCAGAATCAGTGTTGATCTATATACTTTTGTTTGGCAATTATTCTGTCATTACTTACTTATCCCATATTGTTTTTTTTCTCATACTTTTACCAAAGTTTCTCATTTTAATCTCTTCTTCTATATCAACAATCTTGCAATGCCCTTTCCAAAATATTTCTATTTTTTAAAAATCTACAATTGATTAAAACTGAACAAGAGGATAAAAATAGCTAATTAGAGTTGAATCTAATTGGAATAGAACAAATACACTTGGAAAATAAGATTACTAATTAAATTGAACAATCAGACTTCTAATCTCCTTCTCAATCTTCTATCATCTTACCCATCTTTTCTCATATCCCAGAATTCTTCCCTAAAATTCATTCTATAAAATTTTCTTTTCTGTCTTTTGTAGTTTTTTTACTTACCTTTCCTATAATATTTACTTTTCATCTTCTAATTTTCCTAATTTTATTTCCGTGCTTTTCTGAAACATTTTTTTCAATCTTGCTGTCTTTATCAACCTCAACCAATATTGAAAATACTGTATAGTGAAGTTAGTGTTAAACTTATACGATCACAATACATTCCTATTAACTTTTTTTCAAGTAATTATCATTTAGTTCATATATACATTTTTGTTTCCAAATTTTAGTTTTGTATTGGTTCCTCACTTAATAATTACTGAAAAAATAACCACAGTTCGATACCCATTTCATAATTTATTTTCTTTAAATAATCCCTTTAATTGTTTATATTTCTTTATGTTTCTTATATTGTTTTTTTGTTCTTTTGGTTGTGGATTTAAAGATTTACTATCTGTATGGAACTATGAAAATTAAATTTAACATCTTAAAAAACTTGCAACTTTCAAATTCAGCTGTAAACTAGATATTTTCATTGCCATTTTAATAATGACTGGTAATCAGTTAAATGAATTTTGCAATAAGAGATCTGTAAATTAGGTTAGAAACTATTTTTAAAAATCTGTCTTTTTGGATTCAAAGATTTGATTTTTTAAGGTTTTTCAAATTTTAATACAGACAGTATATCTTTAATTTATTTTATAAAACGTCAACATTTTCTTTAATTATTTTTTATTCTTGTTTATTCACTGTGTTCATTTTTTCCTTTTACCTTGATTTTATTTTTACCATCTTATTTTTTCTGTTGAATTTTTCCATTCCATTCTCACAGGCAGTTCAGCTGGGCTCTTAATCACTGGTCATGATTCAATTGACACTACCTTAGAAGATAGTGTCTTCGAAAGCCAAGATCCTCCAAAATCGAACTCAACAGCATTTCGCAAACGACATTTAAGTACTGGCGACTCGAGCCATCAGAGTCCGACCCCATGTAATTATAGAAGCCGTACCACAAGTGGTGATAGCAATGCAACTATCACTTCTTATCTTACAAGCCAGCATAGTCTTGACGGTGAATCAAACATTATACGAAGCAATTTGTTCGGTAGTGATGCTAAAATTCTTGAGGGTTTTGCACATTCAAATCCAAAATTAAGACTCTCACCTCTTTTGGGAAATAATAATGTGCTGAATGAAGGTGAAAATGTGGAAAACATGGATGAAAAGTTTCTAGTTCAACGTTCTCATTCTGTCGGGAGTAAGCCCGACAACTGGAATGAACTGATGTTCGATGAAGTGAAAGGAACACCTGAACAAAAGATGGAAATTGAGTCTTTAATTCATGGTATTGAAGCACTCAGCATGAACCTGCACACTACAAAGGTTAATGATGAGAAAATTGCTGAAAGTAAGGACAATGAAAATGCATTGATCTGTTTAATGGACGATGACATTCCCGGGAATAGTATACTTGACCAATCAATAGAATTTGAGCCTCAATTGATTGATTTTAGTAGTGAGAGAACTCCAAACTCAACTGTAGTTTCTTCTGAGAATGATTTATTAGTTGAATTTACTGAAACAAATACAAGTTCAAATACTGTAATTGAAAAATCTGATCTTGAAATTAATCTGTTGGATGAAACGCAAGGCACTGATTTAGATACCAAGGAGGAAACTGCAGATGAAGAGACAACTAATAAAATGGCCGTTGAGACAGAGACTGTTCCAAACGGCCACATTGAGAGTGTTGAGAGAACAGAACATAAAACAATATTCCACGGTAGTTCCTCTTTGATGTCATTGAATGAACAGCACGAAGGGGACTCTCAAAGTAGCGATTCTTATTCCGGTTCAAAAGAAAATTTATCCCTAGCCAAGAAAACGCCTCGTCGAACTAATAGTTTTTTTTCGCGAGTTAGTAATTTTAGTCCTAGAGTAACAAAACTAAACTTGACAAAGACTTTAAGTAATGCTTCAGAGCAGTTTGAAACATTACACGGATCTGCTAAAAAGGTAGCAAAAGCTGCCCGTGCAGCAGCGACACGGTACAGCACAAAAGTCGTGGAGTACAGTCGTCAGTTCTCGATTCCATTGATGGACCAACAGGCTGCATCATTGACAGACATTGACAAGCATTCACTCTCAGATACGTATTTAAACCGGCCGACCTCCTGGAATGAATTCCAATTTGATGGAATTCAAGATGATTTTGGAACACCTCTTACAGGTTTGTCGGATTTTCATTTGTCTATTAACAACTTTGAGCTGCTTGGATGAGTCCTCTGTGGGTTTTTACTCTGGGCTCAAGTGCTCTCACTTTCTCAACAATGAAAAAAGGTCTATAAATTTAAGAAGGTAGTCAAATGTTAAATCACTTATATGAAATTAGGGTATTATTAATGGTTGAAGATGGTGATTATTAAAGTGACAATTCCATGTATTCATGTTATTGCTTAAACTATTTTCATCCATTTCTGAATATGTAAACATCTGAAGTTCTACATCCTGTCATTGGCTATACATTGACATCAGGACACAAACTATTTAAGTCTGTCATTCTTTTGATTATAACATGAATGCATAGAGCTGTCAATTCTAGTGTATTTTAAGTTAAGCAATTATTGTTACTATACTATGATGATAATGCTTTGTTTAGTGATTTTTTTTTATTACCAAAATTAAAAATGAAAGCGCTTGCAAAACTGTACCTCTTTGCTTAATAATTACATAGCATTTCAATTGCCAAGTGGCTGGGGTTAACATATCTGTATCATGGTTTCATCTTCAAATTTTTGTTCGGTTTTGTTAATCATCTGAATTGTTTAACTAATTTAAAATTTGTTTTTAATGTTTAAATTTATTAAGCTAAATTCTAGTCTTTAAGGTTGTTATCAATTACATTGGTGTATTCCATCATAACCATTTTACTGTCTTTTTATTATTAGCTAAACAACTCACAATTGAATATGTGAAATGATAAATGCTTGCAGTACACATGTAGATAGTTTTGAAAAAAACTGGGAGTGCTCTCAACAAAACAACAGTCCTTTCCAGAATTATCTATGAGGTGTACCGCAAGCAATTGTCAGGGAAGTTTCGCATGCGAACACGTACTGTTAGGCCTACCTGTAGCCAGGCACTTTTGGGTCATAAACATTAGGGCATATTACAAAATAACCAACACTTCTGGGCAACAAAGGATGTATTTTTCGGCTACAATTCTCAATTTCAATTTTCAAAACCTTACATATACTAATAAAACTTTGAGAAGCTACGAACCGTTACAGATAGCTAAACGTATGCTTGCACATTCGTTCGCGTGCGAAACCTCTCTATTGTCACTTACTATCTACCTACCTACCTTAAACTGGTAAGTTTTCCTTCCTTCCACTCTGGTAGGATATAAATTATGTAAATAATGAAAAAAAAATTTACTCTTAAAATTTCTTATATACAAACAAATCTTCACATTTTAATCAAAACAATATCTTTAGTGTTGACTCAACCAAGCTTTTACCAGTCATTATCATAACACCGAAGTCTAATTCATTCAGACTAATAGATTTGACTACATGGCAAATAGTATAATTTATATGTAAAGATTCAATCCCATTAAATCAAATTTTTAAAAGGCTAATTAAATGCAAACAATAATCATTAACGATACAGTGTTAATGTGAATTGATGAGAATAAAAATGATACAAGTTTTATTGAAAATGGATGAAAAACAATGAATGTTTGTAGTTTGAATTAGTGCTCGTTTATGTTTCCCCAGGACTGTTCAGTTTGCTTGAATGTAATTAATGTGATCTGAATGTTGATTCTTTAGACAATAGCATGCTATACTGTGAACTGTCTGTTGGACACATAACAAATATCTTATTGATAATTAGTTAAATTTGATATTAATAATAATAATAATATAATAATTACTGTATATGTTAAACAATTGACAAAGTGCTCTACTGTATTGAATATTTATTTTCCTAATTTAATATCCTATAAATGTTATTCAGTAACATAGTAGCATATAAATCACAATATAAATATGATCTATTCACAGGAAGTATGCAGTCGCTTAATCTGTCGCACGATATGGAGGACTTTGCTTCTCGTCGTAACCTTGCGATGGACATACGAATAACGAGTTGTAATCGATGTTATCAGTGCAATGCAATGCTGTATGATGAAGTTATCATGGCAGGTTGGTCAGCGGATGAATCTAATCTGAACACCAAGTAAGAATGCTATATTTTATTATAAATTATTAAGCTATTATTGTAAAGTTTTGAGGGTAATGTTGGCAAAATAGTGACCCGGCAGAGGCATTATATCTTATAAAGTGTTTGCACGTACAGTACATTTTCCAATAAGTGCCTGAAATGGTTTCACAGTAAATTCCTTTATAAGTCAATCACCTTTTTTTCTTATCTAGTCAAGACCGTCTAGGCCTAGCCTAAGTTATAGGACTCGCCTAAGTTATAGGACTCATAGGCAACATTCGCGTTCTCCACCAACGCCATGTCGGTATTATGCTGGACCTCTGTAGGCTTACTTCTCTAAATATGCCTCAGTCAAATACTTCAGTACCATGTACCAAAGAGTCGATGAATTCAACATCATTTAGTCCATCCTGTGGGAAAATGTAATGCCGGGATGTAGACTATTATTAATAATGATGGTGTTCAATTATTAATTTATTATTTTGTTCTTACAGGTGTTTTTTTTGCTCGTCTCCAAATATTGTTCCATTTTTGTTTATAAACATTGAGGATTTGCGTGGTAAAAGTGATAGCTGTGGTGCATTAAAGCGAGACAATTCTGCGGAAAGTATGCACAGTTTACAAGAAAACACAAAATCGCTTGACACGCACCAAAAAAAAGCACCGTCTGTTCCCAGTATCGACAACCTACTTCTCGAGAAATTTGACGAGGAAACGAACATTGAGGATTCGGATAGCGAAAAACTTATAAATTTAGATGATGATAATTTGGACACTTCTCGTAGTGATAGCGCCCTCACTGTTGAGGTGGATAAATCATTGACTCAACGTCAACGATCTACGAGTGAATGTAAACAAGCAGATCTTGTAGATATGGGCCAAAGTTTAAGTAGTCTAAAACCATTTGAAGATAGAAACAGACGACAATTAAAGAGCAGGTTTGTAAAATATCAAAATAATTTTAATTTATATATGGACCATTGGAAATATGCATAACTGATAAATGACCCAATTGAGATTTGTTATTTCAAAAGCATTGCACTGTCTCTAAATGTTTAAAGAGTAATTAGCAGAAGAGTGTTGCAGTATTGTATACATTAGTACAGAGAAGCTGTAATACTTTTACTCATAACTTTGGCAATAATAAGTCAATTCCAATAAATGACCCATCATTTTTAAGCTTAAAATGTAGAGAATATGTAAATTTTAAAAAGTTATTTTTCTTCTTTTGGTCAATGATGCTATTTTAGGTGTGGCAAGCCTCAATTAACAAAGTTAGCCTCTTCTTTTAGAATTTTATTTTTTTAAAAAGCAAAGAAGGAACTAATCCCAATTATAATCTTTTAGCACATTACCGGCTCGAACTAAGAATCTCACGGTTCAGGATGAATTCTTCCAGGCGTCTAGCCTGACTTCTAGTCATTACGGATCCAAGGAGTACATACCACCACCGGCCAATAAAAAGAAGATTGAGCCCATCAGCGTGCCGTATCTTAGCCCGCTAGTCTTGAGGAAAGAGATGGAAAACGCTATTGAGCATGAGGGGGAATCATGCTTAAGGTCACCTGAGTTTGTAGAGATGCATCCAATCATCTTCTGGAATCTGGTAAATTTAAGATACAAACAAAATATTATTTTTCATTGTGATTATGCATGAAATGATAATTATTAAATTCTCTGTTAAAAGTGAAATCTTAACACATAAAATATGTCATTGTGACATTAAAATGTTGAAGGTTGGAGTGGAGTTGTGGGCTAGTGATCAAGATGCTCACCTTAAATTTCACACAGTGACAGTACTAGCAAGAAGGCGACATTGGGCTTAAGTCTTCATTGGACAGGTCAAGCTTCACATTGGCCATCACTTGTACCAAAACAAAGGAAGAAAAAATTTGTTTTTGTAATTCTATGGGCATAGTATGTTTTATACCATCTGAAAATTGTCCTTTTTTTTTTTAATTGATTGGCATAGCACTATGGAACCCACTAGGACCTGGCTGGCATAGAACCTGTTGGCCTCTGTCTGAAATGTGAGCCTCTTAGGGAGATTGATAATGCATTTCAAGAGTAGCAGTGCTGTAATTTGTCTACAAACCTTAACTGTTATTATTTTATTTTTTGTTAATTTTAATGTAGATTTGGTATTTCCGTCGTCTTGAAATTCCAACCAACCTTCCAGGCTTAATTTTAGCTGCGTACAGTGAAGGCAGGGAGACAGTAGAAGTAAGTAACTCGTTGAAGAAATAATTTATCAACATTTGTTGATATATTGTGTTATGAATATAGTTAAAGAAATTTTTGATCGTTACAACATGGTGATCTAGACTGATTCATTTGTCCATGACCGTCCTGTGTTATATACATAATATAAATTTGTCCCAAACCACATCCTTGAATCCTGAAGACAAGTGTTATGAATATACAGTAATACAAATGTTATTTTTTTTTCTTCTTCTGTAGGCTTGCAACCAATATCTACATAATGATAGCCGACATATTAAGCTAAACCTGCTCTGGGACAATGTGGAATTGTACAATGAGATTGGTGTACCTATGTACATACTGTGGAACAATCGTAATTCATCACTGATGAAGGCGCTTATCACAGAAAGACAATCATTCTCAAAAGGGTAAGTGGAGGAAACAAATACCAAACAGTGATGGTGATGGTGGATAATGATGATGATGACAATTTCTTTTCAGGATTGATGTTGTGGTAATTTGTGGAAATGATGTAGCAGTAGTAATGATGATAAGGGTGACTTATGTAGATATACTTTTGCTATACAATACAAGAATGTACATCTAGAACAATTATAATGAAAATACCTGTATTGGTTGAATCATGACAAATTGAAAATGATAAATATTAAAATATTCCAAATAACAAAGACGCACAAGTTAGGCGACACATATTTAACCTAAACTTTCCCTTCCATATTATACTTTTTGTTATGTTTGACTATTATTTCTGAAAGTCGGTATTCTATTGTATTGCAGATTTATGCTAGAAGTTGTAAAGTGTATTAAATCTAACGATGTTCAGCGCCCGATTGAGATGATGCTGGAGGAGTTCAAAAAGCAACAGATCTCAAAAGATAAGCGTAGAAGTATCTACCGCGAGATTTTGTTCTTGGCTTTTGTGGCTCTGAAAAGGGAAAATATTGATCATGGTAAGCTATCTTGATGAATGAATCCTTAATAAATATCCTATCATCGTTATCAGTGTTAATATCAGTATGATTATTTACATCACAATGTTTTTATCATTATCATCATCACCAACAATATTACAGTCACTACCATTATTAGGTTAAAAATAGTTTTGTGCTTCCCAAAAGTAATTTTAAACACGCATCATCTTAGTGATGCATTTTGGTTGAGAAATGGTCAGTCAGCTTGAATCCATGGTGAAGGTATCAAATTAAGGTTTGAAGACATCATGCATGTTATTTTTGGCACCTCATTAGTATGAAAATATATACTTTCTGGATTATGGATTGGTAGTTCAGTGAATGCAATTTTTTAAGCCTTATGATCGCCACATCAACAAAACCACTATCGATATATTAATCATCACCACCTCCATGTACAGGTTTCCATCAAGTTAAAGACCACTTTTTTGACCTGGATTTTCATGGTCCATAGCAGCTTTGGTCTGTAATTAGAAACATTATATAACATTAACATTATATAACAGATAAATAGATTTGGGGCTGCATAAAGGTGGTCATAATTGGAGGGTGACTTGTATTTCTTTTGGTTTTTTCTACTTTTTTTATCACTTTAATTTTCATAATCTTGAACATTTTTAACCTTTCTAATGTTTTTTCTCTTGTTTTTCGTAGATGCATTTGATGTTGAGTATCAAATAGCATGTAGTCGTCTGGCAGCAGAGCTCAAGGAAGATCTGCAGGTGCATGACAAGTCTCCAGCAGTGTCTATACAACGATGCCGCAAGATATTCGGCGAGCTGTTTCTTTAATATCAACATAATCACTTGTAGTTTTCTTTTTATTGTGATAGTCAAGTTTGCAGATTCCTGCATGATTATTATCAGGAGAATGTTGAAATTCTTAAAATTAAAATTTATAAATATGGATTTTTTTACTAGATATGTTGGTATAGAAGATTAAGTTAGCTAATTTTGTTTTTGGATTTTAGTGGCTAAAGGGTTTAAAAGACCTGTTAATATAATAATAATGAATTGTTTATCAAAAAGTTGATCAGGATTTTTGGAGAAAAAAAAAGAAAGATTATTAAAAACAGTCAAACAGCAAGTGAAAAACTGTCAGTTAATTTGGAATCTTGTTTTTTGGAATACTTACTGAAACCTTGCTTTTATCTCAGTAGTGTATAATAAAAAAACATCTACTTTTCTTTTTCAGATTAATTTAGTGTCAAAATTGAAACATTTGTATGGGGGTAAACCAGTTTATGGCCAAAACAGATACGCTTCATTCTAAAACATCATTTTTGCACTCATAAAATATATCAAAAAATATGGGTTTTTATAAAAATACACAAGTTACTACTATTATATTATATATATTATATTGGCATTTATTTGTGTGTTCAAACACATTTGTGTACTATTTTCTCTCTAATATATAATCACTTCACAGCTCAATATTGATGAATTATAATATTTTTACCAAATGGCTTTTTATATTAAAAAAGTAAAAATAATAATACAGTAATCCAGCACATATAATGTACCAGTTATTTATAAAAATATTTCTAGGCACAGTTATCCCATGTTATCAGGTGCATAAACAGCCATGTACTACGAAAAATAAATGTCTTTATGGTGGTGGTTAATTGTTCCAGATATCAGGTGTAGCAGCCGATGCCTACTAGTTGTGCAACTAACTTAACCATCAAAATTCAATTCCATTTTAATGTAACACAAGCCAGTACCCACTTCAACAATCACAAGACATAAGGCAAAACATATAAAGATTTCATTAAGTCATATTCTAGCTATAATAATAATGCTTCCTGGGTAGGGACACCATTATTTAACATCATAGAAAAATAATTCACTTTCAACTAGTGTTTAATTGTTTGGTCAAATTCATTATAAGACATTCCAATTTGAAACAAATTGTACTAGGCCTAGCATTAATGTTTTATCCAACTAGAATTGGAATGACTACAGTCAGGGATCGCCATATGACAAAAGTAATTAACAATGAAGAACCTCCTCAATCTTACTTAAATAAGTTTATTATTCTTTATATTTATTTTGTATTTCCAGCTAGAGATGTTAGTGTCTTATCAGTTATTTATTATTATTCTAATTGGTTTTTTAAAATTTGTAATCCATTTTCATCCTTATTCTAATGTCTGTTTGATATTGGGGAATTCCTCTTCTAAAGGAAAAAGCAATTTCAATTGTAGTGTATGTGTATGGCTGTACTTCATATGTTTCCTCTTTTATTAATTTGCATATACTGTGCTCTCCATGTTTATTTGAATACAATTCATTTATTTTGTTTAATATTTTATTGATAATAAACAATCAGTATAAATCAGTCCACTTCACAATACATTCTTAAATTGCTAAATTATAACTCATTTTGAAGTAATTTTTTTCTTGAGAACAAATTTAACAAATGAAAGAAAAATGTTTAAAATGTATATTATTATTTAGTTAAATGAACTGTTATAGGATATATGAGGTGTATATATGATTTAAGTTACTGATTAAATGTTTTGATAGATGTCTGTGCAATCAATGATATGTGTAAAGATGAAAATGTTCTCAATTGCATTAGTTTGAGGGGATCATTTGTAGGCCTACCTAATACTTGTTCCACATAATGTCTGGATAATGCTTAATGTTTTCTTTTCATTCTTCACACATTTGATGTCTAAATCTTATTTCACAATTTATTTAAAAGTGTGTTGCTTGGACATTGTACCTAAATTTGTGTCTATTTTTTTTGTTATGGAGTTCACTTAGAACGATGGTGATGTCATCAAAACAACTTATGAAATGATTTTGATGTAGTATTTTCTAATCTCTCCCCCCCCCCCCACACCATTGTAATTTACCCCCACTTCCTCCACATAAACCCTTTCCTTTGGATCCTTTGATTGTTAAAACTTCGCTCATATTTAGGGATTTGAGTATTATATATGTCATCAAGAACTACACTATCTACTACATTATAGACTGCCATATATGAAATATAATAGGCCCGCTACAAGCATGCTACTGCAAGATATGCTTGTGCTGCTAATTCTCTGGGACAACAGTACTTGCCATTAAGTATCCACCGATACATATGCCAAATGAAGTTTAAGCAACATTTAGAAAAACAAGTAGTATTTAAGTGTGTGTTTCCTGTGGTATCGTTACTCTAGTTTTAGATGATTATATAATTTGCTATTATGAAGCAAGTATCTATGTGCTAAAGATGTACTGTGTCATACGCCACCTTCTTCCAATTCTTAGTATTTCATTTCATAAAAAATAATTTATGAAGCATACTAAGTATTTTGTATATACATTTCAACTTATTATGGTGGAGTTAATGTATGAATAAATAAATATTTGTGTGTATTGAAATAACTTCTATTGTATTTTTTTTGTTGACTACTGGGGTAAACTCCATAGATGGATTTAAAGGATGGCGGAGGTTGTGGATGATTCCCCTCTAATTGTTTTCAAATATTTTATTTTAAATAGAGATATTCAAATTCCTTTTCATTTTTCTTTATAATTTTTTGGAAAGTGCATAGGGTCAGAATTAAAAATCAATTACCACCTATAGCCATTAAATTTTTGTCTTATAGATTTTAAACTGGGCTCTTGTGTAATATTGTTATAACCTGTTAACATTTCCAGCTTATGTTGGCATTCTTCAAGATAGTAAATATTTGTTTTATTAACATATGAGTTATCCACACCATTCCCCTTCGTCGATGAGCTCAACACAATTTATCAGGTAGAAAAAAATCCTATGTAATTATTTTGTGTGAGAACGCCTGATCGGTTAGCGCTAACCGCGTTACCAGGATCCAGATACGCTAATGGTTAGCGAGCACTATCGGTACTGTACGCATTTCCAAATTCCAGTTTCCTATTGGCCAGTGATCCCACCCTCATTTTCCTGGTGTCCGGATCGGGATTTTCTTGTATGAATGCACGGATGAGCACGTACGTTTTTAATCCGGATTCTGCTAACCGTTAGCTGCAGTGTATGAACATAGCCAATAACTATTTATTATCAAAACCGTGATTTATAAGTTATCTTTAGAATTCAAAAGTTTGTTCATTTTTATCTAATGATTGAAAAGACCTGTCTTCGTTTTTTCAAAAAAAGTTTTGCTCTTTGTCTTTACACAATATTATTTTATAGTGCAGCCTACTCGGCCTATAATAATATATTATTACTATGAATAATGATTATAAATTTAATAAATAAGATTTGTATAGCTCATTCATTTTTAAAGAACATTAAAGAAATTGGTAAATCCAGGCCTAAAAATTATGACTGGCTATTCAACAGTGGGCACCCAACCTCGATTTTGAAAAAGCAGGCAGGAAAAAAAAAGCAGGCAGGAAAAAAAAAACGATATAGGCCTACAAGATAGAAAATTACTTTATTGAAAATTTAAGTACTTTAATGAAAATTTTATTTATATGAAGACCAATGAAAGAAGAAGATAGAGTATTACCATTTTATGTTAAACAATGAACGGTTGATAATTTGGTGTACCTTCAATTTGCGAGCGAAGTATGAAAACATAAAGATGGTAAAGATATGCCATTTTTCCCTCGTCATATAATTATAAAAAAAACGACAATGCCAATAAAAATATTAGCCTTCTTTATATTAATATGATCACTTGTTTTGTCTCTTTGTTGTAAGCCTGTAAAATTCAAGAAAATACTAGGATATTTTGTTTTTGTTATTGTTTTTTTCACACAAATTAATTTTTGATAACTATTCAGATGAACAAGTGACAGAATGGAGACCAAAAGTAAGTTAGAAAACAAACTTTAATTAATCTTAATTACATTTTATAATTTGCTGATCCTCATGCATCATTTATTTCTCCAAATAACAGAAACAACAAAGAGACTATATGGCAGGATTGTCTAAGTTCAAGTACTTGCCATGCGCCACCGAGGAACTCTCATAGACCAACCAAACATTATACAACTGTCATCCCAACAAAACATTATACCGCGTAAAAAGAAAACTATTATATAAAATATTAAATTTATCAATGTAATGAAATCACTATATTCAAAAAAGCTATATACAAATCTAGTCATGAAATTCAATGGTGAAAGGGGTAAATAATTATATACATATCAAACCGCTTGAAAGAAGTGGAATCGAAAATGGGCTACAAAATTACCGTAAAACTTGTTTTGTTATAAAATTGTTAAGAAAAGGAGTTAGTTTCTTAGATCAGCAGGGAGATTGCACCATAGTCTATGGAAGTAATTAAACAAACAAAAAATACGTTAATTAAATTAAAATACGCTATTTATTATACGATATACCATTATTATACAGAGCGTACAGCGTTCGACAGAGTGGCTTCTAAAATTCTGAATGCAGCCGATGGGCTCTGCAAATAAATATTGAACGCTGCCCTCTATTGCTTGTAAAGTTTTTGCTAATTTTACTTGAAAAGTTAAGCTGTTATCCGACACTTCTACTTACTCTTTTTTCATATGTTGTTATTTTCTAATTATACTTACGTTTTAAACATGATATTTTAACACTATATGTCATTACCTATATTTATCAGTCACCGGATCACTTTCTTCACCCGTTTCTCCCATCCTGTTTTCAAACCTCATTTATTCTAATTCACTCCGTTTCCGTTCCTTGGCACGTACTGGCCAAGGACATTTATTTCAACTTTTATATAAGGCTTCGGCCAAAATAAAATATAGTTGCTATTTACAGAGGGAATGATCACTTCTACGTTTAAATGAGTGATAAAGAAATTTACATAAACAACTTATTGTATTGATGTCAGTAGTGGACATTAATTGAGTAAACTTAACTTTGGATGGATTAACAATAAAATACTTGAATATATAATGTTTACGAATGTCAGTGTAACAAGGGCAAATTAAAGTAAAATGGTACTCATCTTCAACTAAATTTAATGTACAATGTTTGCATAATCTATCTTTTTTATCCATTTTTGACCATCTACCAGTTTCAATTTCTAATTCAAGGACTCCTAAACGCAACTTAGTAAGAATACGTCTATAATTAAAATTTTGTATATGCATTAAGTATAGTTCGATTGTAAAATTATATTTAAATGTCACATAATACTTAAGTCTGGAAAATAAATGAATTTGTTCATGAAAAATGTTGACGTTCTATATCATAGACGAGTAGTTATTTCAGATATAAAAGCAACATTGTTCTCAACATATTGTTCATACCAA